TGTACCAGTGGCTGTTTTACTGTGCTCGTTTGTTTAACTGTTCTAATGACAGCCATTTTCGCCTTCCATTTGGACTCCATTACTTCTGCGCGATTTGTGACTCTACGCACGTACTTTCTCCTGCCGATCCCACTTGTACTCCTTTTGGCACGATCTCAGTATTCTTTCGATACCACTAGATCGCCAACAAATATGTCTCGACTACAGCCATCATCCGTCTTCTGATATTGGCCTACGGGAATCTTATTGGTTTACTGGCACGTAGTCTTGTAGCGGTGTTCATAATCAAGCGCGATTCGACACCACGCTACACCACTAACAATATTAATCAATATGAGGAATAAAAGTTTGACCGATTACTTATACAAACGAATGGCAAATTTCTTTTAAAAATCAATAAATGGACAATATTCCTTGTTCTCTGCAACTAGTGGGAAGTTTTTGGTATATAGGGCAAAAAGCTTTTATTGAACTACAAGATTTAAACGTAAGTGGTGGTCTTTGAAGACCATATGGTTCGATGGAGAACTTCGTGTATGGCGGGAAATGTGTCAAAAACGATCAAATTACAGCTTGTTTCCTTACATCCGTCGACAACGATGCCTTTAGTCTTCTACAAAATCTGGCTTTCATAGAAAAACCTATTCTGTTGTCTGTTCTATCAGACCTATTCTATCAGCTTCATGCCCAAATGCGTAAACAGTTTACTGTCGAAACTAGTATTTTGAATCTAGGGTGAGAACTGATAAAGTCACCAAAATCATCATTTCAGGACGTTCAAGCCCACAGTATTGAGTTTAAAACCACTTATTATTTGTGAAGCGTTGATTGAAATTGAATTGTAACCAAGGTAATTCCGTAGATTTCTCAGTTATCGAAATCACGTTCTACTCAATGGCGTATAAATCCGTGTTTAGTTTATAACGATGCTAACTTTCATCAAAATACAAGTAACATTTCAGCGAAGAATTCCAAAAATGTAAATAAAGGTGGGTAGAAGCTTGGTAAGTGTTTACTATGTGATAGAGTTTACCTGCCGAAATCATACTCACTTCATAATGTCGATTGCATTAGATGCGTCAAGATTAGTCACAGTAAGACCGGACGGCAAACTACTCATCTCATTATGTGTTATGATTGTTCAAATTCTATGAATAAAGGTAATACTGATAACAAACATATGCTTTCGTTGTGGACTACCTCGAACAATCCATTTCATATTGTAGCGGTAAATAAACCCCCAAAATAAATAGCTCTGTAAGTTTTCGACATTGGATGCTGATCACTTTAGTTTTAACGGATTCACCTAGCTGAAGGCGCTCGGTCATGCATCCGCACCAGATCATATGTGGGAACACCGTGCTCAACATCTACTGCAATCACTAGCCAGGTTAGACCAGACGATCCTCGATATATTGATGGCCTATCAAATATATCTTCGAACCTCCTCGCTTCTGTCTTTTTATTTCACTTGGTGGGTAGGCTTCATATTAGAAAGTGTTACTGGTTAAAGCGGTGTCAAACTCCGAATATCTGTGGCATCTTCAATATTTACAAGTGATTAGATACATTCACTAGTTCCAGGAAATGTTGAAAGAAGGTATAATTGAGGAAGTGGACAGCCCGTATAACTTACAAACGACAACGGACACATGACCGATTCCGACTGTACTCCCCTAAGTACTGGTACCGATGATGGATAACTGACTACCGGCACTCAGAATACTGTAAACTGTTCAGATAATCTTCCCATCAGACTCTGGGACCAAAAACAAATGGCTGATTAGCCAGAGTGCTACTGTATTGTTAAAAATCGCTGTCCATAATCACTTGCACAGAGCAAGGATTAACTTTTGCAGATGAAGTTACATGGACTCTTAATGCTAATGACAACAATAAATAGGACTCTTACTTTTAATTGATATGCTCTCAAGTGCATTCCGATCCAATGACGATCCAATCATAAGTGCTTGTTAACAAAACTTTTATGAAAAACAATTAGGAATAGTTTTTCACTCTGATTTCCACCACAAGTACGCGAAAAGATTAGGCTTCTTGTTGGTGATGATATCTCTGATAAACCTCTTGCATATGAGTGAGACGAGCATCATCCGAAACTAGGACTTAGTCCAGTGTAACTGGAAGTCATCCCTGAAAAACAGTCTTGCCACAACAAATTTACTAAACGACGTAAATTTATCAACCGGAAAGCATTTAGGATAATGAGAAATAAAAAAACATCTTTAACCATATTTCGGAAAGGAGATAGTAGCTTAAACTAGTATAATATATTGAGTGCAGAGTCTGAACTATTCGAGAGATCAAGACTTTTCCACAATCCTCTCAGCCCGAGAAATGATAGCAGTGCTTGGAACCATGGTTGACAAAGAGAATCCTGATTCACTATCGTCGAAGAAAAACCATGAGTTACTTCGTAAATGACACTCACGTTAAACTGAAAGGCTACTCGATTTATATTGATAACAAACTCAGCCCCAGGAGCAGCGACACAATCCTATACTTTATCTACATGAGCTACTCAAACAACGAAAAATCACTCAGTCACAAGCTCATTTGAAATTAATAAAATTCGTAAACAGAGCTGTTTTCAGGAAACAAGCTGAAGGATGGAAGCTTCAGGGATTGTGGATCACCAAAGAATCTTTCAAAATAAAGATAAATGTTGTGTCTTTATGGCCCGCTAGTTATTACGTAATCTATTCGCCAATCAAAAATACGATTTATTCGCCATTAGTCTGTGCTAAATCAATGACGTCTGACCGGTCTGATCAGCCTAGCGTCCTATTAATCCGTTGCTCACCTAGCCCGTCCATCTGAGTCCAGAACGCCAACAACAGACTCCACTATACGAATCATTTATATCAGACATACTTGGTTTATAAATCAACCAAACAGACCGCAACGCACCATAAAATAGGAAATAACATTCGTACAAAATATAGCCAAAAGTGGCTATGAACGTGAGAGACAGTAATCAATAAAATGAGTATAACTTAGGGACAGCAAATCGTACAAAAATAATCTATAGATCAAAACGAAGCTTATAATGATGAGAATATAGATATATATAATCTAGTTACTAAATAGTTATACGATAAGAATATATAGATAATATTTGTCCATTAATAGGTCTCAGAAGATACCCGTAATATATTCTTCACTAGGATATAGCAATAGGTAACTCAATGTATTTTATCAAGTGCTATGCACTCACCAATGATAGCAATGAAGACGATGAAGATTAGTTATATCAGTCTGTAGTCGATTGTAACGAAATGCTCATGAAAGGACTCAACAATCTGCAGAAAGAGCATTGCACAAGTTTAGTATAGCCTTCCTTCGAGATACTGACAAACAGGTTCCGAACCTTACATGATCTACTCAAAGAAGAAGAAACTACCATGGTGAACGACTGGAAACGGATTAAGATAGCACTAACTTCAACGTGTCAGGAGGTTTCGAGTTGGAATAAACATCATCATAAGGAACGAATCTCCGTCTAAACTCTAGACAAGTTTCAAGAAGGTAAGAACAGAGAGATAAGAATTAATAACCTCCAAACAAGATTAGAGAAAGTCAAGTCACAATCTGAACACAAACAAGCGAGTGGAGAGGAGCGCTAAAGCCGAAAAGCAGGAATACGTGGAAGTGCTAACAATGACAGCAGGATAAGCTGCAAGGGAAGGATATATGGAACAACCACATGACAAAACAAAGAAACAAGAGAGACCAGTCAAGCACATAGAATGCCAGTTATAAATGAGATTCTGGAACGGAATAACAGATGGGTAGAGCACTTTGAGGGACTTTTTCACAGACGAGCTATATTGAGTCCACTGGACATCAAAGCAGCACCCACAGACCTTCCAATAAATGTCACTCAATCAACGATTGAAGAAGTCAAGATGGTAGTTGGACAAATCAGAAATGAAAAAGTAGCAGGACCTGACAACATACCAACTAAAGTAGTAGAGTCATATATAGAAGGAGGATCTTATAGAAACTTCTTCCACACTATGGAGTATCTGAGAAAGCTGACATCGTCCGGAATTCATACGACGGACTACACTGCAAAATCGTGAGTGGAGGACAGCTGACAAATGCATTTAAAGTGAGGACCGGAGTCAGACATGGTTGCTTCCTCTCGTCTTTGCTCTTTCTTCCGGTAGTTCGGTGAATTATGAAGACCTCCACATCTCAGAGGAAGCACGGAATACAACGGACAGCATGCATGCAACTAGACGATTTGGACCCAGAATATGAATTACACGTTCTATCCCATACACACGAACAAACGTAGATAAAAATAACCAGTGTAGCAGCAGTCTCTGCATCAGTAGGTCCCAAAATACACAAAAGGAGAAACAACATCATCGAACACAACAATGAGAATACCAAACGAATCACACTTGATAGAGAAACTGTGGAATAGTTGGAAAGTTTCACGTATCTGAGTAACATCATCGATAAACAAGGAGGATCGAATGCAGATGTAAAGGCGAAGATTGGCTAAGCAAGGACAGCATTCCTATAGTTGAAAAACCTATGAAACGCAAAACAGCTGTAGACCAACATCAAAGTCAGAGTCTTTGTTATGAACGTCAAGACAGTTGACAATTGAAGAACCATCACAACCATCATCAATAAGGAACAAGTATTTGTGAACAATTGTTCACGCAAGATACTAGATATCCGTTGACTGGATACCATCAAAAACATCCTACTGTAGAAAAGAACAAATCAGATTCCAGATAAAGAGGAAATTATGAAAAGGCGTCAGAGGTGGAAAGTTTACCATGCAAAGAACACCTTGGAAAGCTAAGCCTTTTTACTTTGTCCTACCGTAGATTAAGATGTGATCTGATTTTTATGTATAGATTACTAAGAAATGATTTCAAACCCTATATATCCTCCCTTTTTCATCACACTATATCGAGAATTCTCAAAGGGTAACGCGGGCAAGTACAAAAGCCAAGAACCAACAGATAACCCGTGACATACAGGTTTTCACACAGTCATCATTTCTTGGAACCTGTTATCGGAAGCACTGGTGTCCGCGCCTTCAATTGATCCATTCAAAAGAGGACTAGACACTCAGAGAAATGCACTAGAGAACGGATGACATGGGCCATAGGTCTTTTGTTCTTACTACACAAATTTGAATCTGAAATCTTATTCCTTACGCAACTTTATGATTTTATTCCGTCCCTAGTCAATGGTTGGAGTTTCTCAAGACCACTTTAGTATCTCTCTAGGTTATTTCATAAATTTCAGTATCATCCAAACCTCTACCTTGAACCAAGGCATAAGCTCTAAAATTCAATGTGTTTGGCAGATATTTTACCTTGAAACAGTTGTGTATGTCCTTCGGGAAATGGGAAACTTTTGAAAAGGACGTGTGATGGCTGAAATATTTTATAATGGTAGGAGAGTTGACGGTCGTAGGCCAAATGAAATTAGACGAGTGGATTGTCAGTTTGGCTCGGGTTATTCTGACGGAATGGTATTTCTGCATCAAGGTGATATTAATTCCCGATTACCAGAAACCGTAAATTTAATGACTTTAGGGAATACCAAGGTGATTGCATCCGTGGTTGGGCCCCATGCTCCCAGAGCAAAAGGTGATGGTGTTCCAAATGGTGCAACGATAACGTGCCAATTTACCAAGCCTCCGTTCGCATCAACTTCAGGAGAACGTCGCAAACTGTCATCAAATGATAGATCAGCAAATGATTTTGCTACTGCCATTGAGGTAACTAAAATCTTGAGTTAAATTTTCGTTTGAACTAACTTTTAGTTTTACTATGAATAGGTCGATAGTTGATCTAAGGTTTTCCAATAATATGTCCCTTGTCCCAAGCTCCCAATTTCGGGGAAAATTTTACCTATTTTGGGGATATTTTGGGGAAGCCGCCATTATAAACTTTGGGGAAATGGCACAAAAACCCCAAAATTTTCCCAAACCTTTGGGGATTTACCCAAAATTTCCCCAGACCTTGGGGATTTCTTCCCCTAAATTTCCACAAAATTATGGATATTTCCCCAATAATTGTGGATTTCCCCAAACTTTGGGGAAGGCTGTTTAACTTTGGGGATTTCCCCAAAATTGGGAGCTTGGGTGTTAGTTCATGGGTACTCAGAAAACTACTGAACGTGTTTTTATCTTGCGAAGTAAATGAAGTTAGTTATGCGCTATCAACTTTCTTAAGCGGTCTTATTGTTGGTTTTAACTTATAGTCGACACTATAAGCGTATTGCACGTATCGATAAATCATTGTTTCTCTAGTTTGCTTCAACCTGTCATAGCAGAAGCATACACCTCAGATTAATTAAATTGTTTTATATATAATGAAAAGCTTTTTTCTACCGAAGTCAATGATTAATCGTCCTAAACTCATCCTAGAGTATTACCAAGTGGATCTTATAATTTTACACATACTATGTGGTAGGAATAACGTCTGGTTTTCATCAGTTTCTGACTACAACATAAACGGAATGTTACCTACCCTTATGATACATATATGCTGATTATTTGTACATGTTAGGTGATTCCTGAAGTGAAAGAAGCAAGTTTTAGAGCATGGGCACCCACCGTATTTTCGAACAAGTTCTACACCCACATAAGTCGTTTATTTAACATGAAGATTTTGGTTAGTAATCGGGATTTTACAAAATGGATACTTAGATAATGTTTATTCAAGGTGTATACAAAATAAGATTTCTACTCGGATATCATTTTTTAGCCGATTGATGTTTAGCCTGTGCGTTATGGTTCTTAATTGTGTTTCTTGAATCTTGGACTTTAGGTATTTTTGTTTCACTTCTTTTATGATATTAAGGCTTTTACAACGGATATCATGTTATTTTACACATATTTAGGAGATATTTTCATGTGTCATCAGGACAGAAAAATACCCAATGTCTCAAATAGATATTTTTCTTGAAGTTATTCAGTCAGATGGCTCTGAGTTTGCTTGTGCTGTAAATGCAACTACACTTGCCTTAACTGATGCTGGAATTGAAATGGATTACCTCGTCAGTGCAGCTACAGTTGGTGAGCAACACATGTTTATTATTTCTATGAATTTGCAAGAAACCCTGTCTAATACTTTTACCGTGTTTATGTTTTCCCATAACATCCCGGCAGTGAAACATGGCCGGTAAGAGTAGAGGATATTCGTAGGTTACTAGTATTCGATCATAGGTGTGTTCGAAGCACTGCTCGTATATTCTGAGACCACCGAGTAGGTAATGCAGCTGTTAGGAAACGGGTACTAGGTAAAGATGGCAAATCAATTGATGAAGTAGAGAAACCTCATTAGTCGAGATGGCTGGGACACGTGCTATGTTTTATGGTGTAGGAGTAGGTTGGAAGAAAGCTATGGGCGGCCAAACCACAACATGGCACAAATCCATGAAGTCATTGACAAGTGAAATGAGCCATGTTGGTAGATGGAGACTACCTGGTTAGGACCCGTGAGATGATAGCAACCGATGGTTAGAGACCTTGAATTGCGTGGCTGAAAATCGTTTGCAATGGCGCAGGTGCATCCACTCTTTATGTTCCCTCGAATTCTAATCTGAATTCCTCATGTCCCTGTTTTCCTTCTCTTTCCAAATTTATCTCACTGGATTATATTCCTTGAATAACATCTTCAAACTTTGATGTTTCCGATTACTGCTTATACTCCTACTACCTCTACTACTATGGGATTTGAATCGACAACTGTATATGTGTGCTAATGTGGTACGGCAACTCGAACTGATGTACACACATACGGAGTTCTACTTTGTTGCTGACTGACTGATAATATCCCTAAAATCCTGTTAGCCAGTGACGTACTTTCATTTCCTAATTAGTGCAGTTTTTCGTTTCAGTATTAGAACCTGGTTTCAAAATGTTACTAAGAGTGTGAACTTTGTTCCCATTTGCCAACTTTTCCTATTCTGTTCGTCATTTAATGAGCTAAAAAGTAGTGGGAGCAGAGAACCCGCAGTGAAATTCCAGCATCAATGAACCCTAATAAGCTACTGACAGGGAAAGACTAACTGCAAAAATTGCATAACATTAAGATGGTCAGACATATTTGGGCCTTGCTTGCACTAAAATATTCCTGCGTACTATTTAAATTCGTGTTAATTCAATTATTTTACCTATTTGTTTTCTGAAGAGATGACTTATGATTGACATAAGACGTCAAAAACTCAATAACCCACTCATTCGGATTTTACTAATATATCATTATTACTGATATAGTCTACCTTACGTTGATGATCTTAGATCTAGTTATATGGTCAATTGTCGTTTTATTTGTCTCTCAAAAGTAATTCACCAGGTCGATATGAAACACTAGAATAGATAGTTCTTCACTCTTCGTTAATGTATATATATGAATTGTGTGCACCAAACTCATGACTTTTTATCATACAAAGGTTTTTCACTGTGCTTGTGACAGGTCTTTGGGGTTCATATGTGTTCGCTGACCTTTGTCGGTTTGAGGAGAATCCACGTATATCACAGTTAACCGTTGTTTGTCTTCCCAATCTTCATCAGCTTTCTGGAGTAATTACAGAGGAGCAAACAGGCCAGTGGAAAGGTCAACCTCAAATCCTTCATACACGTCTCTCTTCTTGGTTACCTGTTGAGAGACTACAACCACTCATAACAGAAGCTGTAAAGGTGGCTCAAACACTTCAAAAGGAGTTCTCTTATTGGCTACGGGGTCGTGTACGTAGTGGTCTTATCACCAGATGACTAACATGATCCACCTTTATAAAAAGATATCTTAAGCGGCGCCAGATATACTATCTGAATATAATTGATATGAAATGCAGTGTTTCACGACTGACCATGTAAAGTTACAATATAAATTTCAATCCCGACTTTAAACTTAATTAAACGAAACTGACTTCTTTACATGTTTTGTAGCACAAAATTCTCTTACACAATTACTCCGCTCAAATAATCTAGTTAGTTTCCTGGTCGGAATGCTGCCTTCATCCTTAAAATGCAATGAAGGTAGGTTTTTTGAATTGGACAAATGAGCCTTTACTTTAAAAGTAAAATCCAATAGACGATGTAGAGACTCATAGTGACCGAAGACTGAGGCTGGTTTAGACGTCATTCATCCATTCAAGGTCCTGCAATTCATATATGCTACTAATATGTATCATTCTAGGTGGAATTCTCTGACCTTTCAACCGCACTTATAGCACTAGACGTACGGTTTTATGGAAACACGCATGCTACTTAAGGGGCAGCAAGTAGTATTCAAAAAACTATCAAACCACTTTTGTAAAACGTTTGTAGGAGAGCAAGCTATTTCTTTAATGTTCATCTCAGTTTAGAACGTCTAATTCTGTTGTTTCTATTGCAAACTGACCGTGATAAATTCCTTGCATTTTAGGACATTTTCTACTTAATATATATATCTTAATATCCTTCGACAGTTTGAATTTCAAAATCTTATTTTAATAAGCAAAATGGTCATCTGTTTGCCGAATTCCATTCATCACAGGTTGGGAAAGTTCAGTTCATTCATAATACCAGGTCTAGTGAATAATATATCGTACTCGACTACGTGACAGTATTTCGAAAAACTGACTTATCCCATTACTCAGAACGTACAATTGCGCCAGCACACGCAACAGCTAACTTACTAGAAGTTCTCTTTACGACGTCATAACGTGCATAAAACAGCCTGGAATATTTCGTCGAAAATTTTTGGATTTCTTGTGAACAAGTCTTACCACAAATCAGCAGAAAGTGTCCTTTTCATCAAAAGTTTTGTGTAAGGATTTGAAACTTCAAAATTTTTCAGGCGTACTAAAGTGATTACTAATTTTGCTGGAATTTAGCCTAAGAATGTTTAGGGTGACTCATCAGACTTCATGATTTAAAAGAACCTAGCCAACCAATAATGCCTTACAAAAAATAGCGAGACAACTTGTAGTGTTCCGAGCTACATGGACGTTGAGATGAAGATTTGTGGCTCAGGTGAGTGATTTTACTGAAGTTTTATTCTTTGAGCTGGATAGCTTGACCACCAAAAAATATTTTAAAGACGAGTAGTAACAATGTGGTCTAAAACTATTTATCATCGAGTTCTCATGACCCAGAGTTACCAATCTCCAGATTTTATACAGGAGCGAGATTTTTACTGCTTATCAAATGGTGATCCTTTTCCTATGAATTAAAGCAAGTTCATAACATCACAGTGAACTTCCGCAGAATCCAATCACTATCAGAAATCACGCAAAGTAGTCCAAAATAAAGTGGATTTCGGTAAGAAAATGAATTTGTCTGAGTCAAATCTGTTATTGCATACAACTATTACACCAGATATCTAAATTGGATGGAACGTCATTCGAATCAGCAATTAACTTTTAGCTGCCTCAGAACTACAGTCGACACACATACTAAAGTATATGGTAAACATCAATTCCTCGTTGGATGTTCCGTATCCATACACAAGAGACTATAGTTTGGCTGCAAACATGTGCAGAAAAGCATATTTACATGAAAAGTCAATTATGAATTTGTGGCACCAGGTATATACATTAAAAATAACAAACAATCTCACAGTTAAAAAAATAGATACTGTTGGGTGAGAAAAATATGTGTAAAACAGTTACCAATTGAGATGGAATTGCATAAGTAGATTGAAATTATTCAGTTAGCTTGTTGGGATAACTGAGTTACAAAAGTCATTAATTTCCATCAACCACTCGTCTAGAGACCGCGAAACCGGTGGAACAAAATTACATGGTTCTGTCAAATGTGGATTGGGATTATCTGGATTAGATGACTTCCTAATTTTCACAAGACTGATTGAACCGTTCGGAGCTATATGTATAGTCGCTGTCGCCATAGCCCCTTGACCTGCTAGTAAATGAAGATTGCGTGCAGCTGGATCCCAGTCGAGTGGATACATTGAACTCAGTCGCTTTATGTCCTCTCTCAAGGTAAAGTCTACACGCAGATGTTGCTGGATGCATGCTACGATAGTACTTGGAGTGAGGGTTAGTGCGAGACGTTCACACAAATTTATTATGCCATTGTAACAGCCAATAACCTAAATATGAGAAAACAGTAATTAAAACAAAAAATGTTGTTAGGTCCTGTTTTGAAAATTTGATATGGAACAAGGGTAGTAAATAATTTTTGGTTATTTAGAAATTTGATATGTTTAATCGGGCCTAGTCATTATGAAGCTATAAGGAATGTTTGAGAAATTTTAGTAAGTAGTCCATACTGCAATTGAAATATTAAAAATTCAATGTGAAGCTTACGGAGGTTCCCACAACTTGGACGAATGTTGGATTGTTAAAATGCATAGGGATAACATCGATCGATATATAAACGCACTGGTAATAACTGTTCACGAGGCCGGATCATCGACTTAGGTCCTTGAGTTAACCGATATCAAAGGCAAGGCCAATAGCCAGAATAAAGGTTCTTAATTATTAAGTTAGCATCTTTATAAGCAAGATATTAACATGACAATAATAATATTTAGATGCATATGGGATGGGAGTAATCAGATTTGTAGGTTACTCCACTTTTAGGGTCATTTCTCCTCTATCATCTGAGGAACCAGATAGTTTAGGAGATTTGATCAAATTACATAAAGGGTGAGAAATTCTCATTATTCTTATGCTTTTGCGAATAAATAAGCGAAAGTTTAGTTACAAGGATCACAAAGTAGTTCCCATCATCAAAGTAAATGAATTAAACTGACCAGAGTGGTAACCATAGACAATAAAATTGAAAATTATCTACAATGTTTGAAACATATTAATTGATTAAGTGTTTGCGTCCGTACTCAAAAAGCAGCTTATACTGTTAAACAATCAGAAAATTTCGTGGTATTAATGTACGTTCTTCTTCGAAACACGCATACATTATTCAGGTGCAGCCATTCGCTTAACCTTACCAAGTCAGCTTAGAGAACCGGAGGTATCGTCTAAAATGATGATCACCGAAATCAACTCGACGGGCTCAAATGGACCATATCATCATCAGCTATTGGTTAGAGAGGCTCAATAAAAGATTACGCGTTCGGGAGCACACGTCTAGACTCAAACTAGGATCTTGTGCGAGCACGTGTTTGTCTACACCTTACTAAACACAGCATGAAAGTCCCTCGGAGCCCAGCTTATTATAAGAAAAGTCAACAGTATATTTCATGAACGGGAGAATCAGTGGGTCAATCGTCAGATTGATGTTCACTGAGATGAGGGTTGACACGATGTCCAAATTTCTGTGAAAACCGAGGTGATATATATATATATATACCAGTGAGTCAACCAAAATATTAAAAATAATCAGAATTTCGATGGCCCCCAGTGAATTGATAGTTACTCTGAAGCTCATCCCATCAAACTGGGTACATAGTGACGAGCGAAGACGACTTAAACACAAAATCAAAAATGTCCACGTAGTGGTTATAGGCAGAGAAAGCAAAAGACATGGTATGTATATATATATATAAATTCTGATTATTTTTAATATTTTGGTTGACTCACTGGTATATATATATAGCACAAAGGCAATCACACGAATCCGTTTAGCATAAAACATGTAATTCACTGGACAGTTACTAAACACCTGCCATATCCGTCAAAACCAGTACCTCACTCAATACAGAAAATTGGATAAAGAATTTAACTTACTCTGGTATTAGTCAGTGCAATAGTTCCAAAATCTCCATGTTTTAAAAGACCGCGAAGTAAAGGTTTTTCAACTAGACTCTTTGCCAGTTGATTTTCGTTAGTATTAAACCTCAATATAACACAGGATGAATTTAGAACTATTCTTCCAAGTTTTTGAGCATACCATTCTTGACAATACCTGTTGAAATAAGTGGTAGACATTCCAAGTGTCGTAAGGCTAAAGTAGTGACAAGCGCCAAATAGTAATAGACGAACATTTTAGCACTTCAAACTGGCAGACACTACAATGGCGTGACGGTTGGAATGACCCGGTCGACTTTGACCGGCAAAAACACGTGCTCTTTGGGCTCCCACCGTAGAGACTAGAGCCACTGACGTACCGTAAATAGCGCAGACTTTGATAAGTCGGGTCATATTTACATTATTCAAACAGTTGTGTGCTTAATATCCCCGGTCAGATTGCAGGACTAATATATGTTGTAAGTACATAATGTAACTATTTTAAGGTAGTGGATCATGATCTACTTTAGTTAATCAGTTATAATGATTCAAATATACTGGGTTACTCAAATAGTGAGTTTGTATTTTTATCATTCCATTAATTTAGCCCCTAAATTATCTATTACCTGAATGCTGAGTAATCTAACAATCCCAACCTGAAATAAGGAAGTCCAAAGAGGAAAACCAACTTAACACAGATTTAACGGAAGCAGAATACTTTCTTTGAATGACTATAAATCCCATGTATTCTCTTCCATTCTGGTAAGCAGTGGGCTTTATGCGAAACTTGTGAAGGTAAGGTGCCTTTGCATATCGATTTTGCTATTACCAGTAAAATTCCCTATCGAACATAAGAACATCCCCAGTAACTGTAACTTCCCAAACGGTAACGTATGAGTAACAAGCAGACCTTCCTTAGGAACAAGTAGCCAGCAAGACTTATCACTTTTCGTTCTAGATACTTCAGTAGTATACTGACTTTTGAGGTATTTTAGAACAATAACTTTTCCATTAACAACTATCTTTAGCACGGATATAGAGAGTTCACATAATATTTACTGGTCAACACTTTATTGTATCAAGTTACCAGCTGTCTATCGACAAGTAAGTAGATTGAGTGACGGATATATATATATATATATATATATATATATATATATATATATATATATATCACTATGCGTTACTGACTTTACTTGATAACGAATTACGAGGAAGTTGTTGGTTTTACAAACCATGATGGTTGCATAAGAAATAAAATAGAATGGGCGTCAGGGTTCTATTGCTCTTAAAATGTCAAATTCGTTACTAAATAAATATCCGACGAGTTGATAAATGGCCCTATATAGTATATCATTAAGCAAATGGGTGGAATTTCCAGTCCTAGTAATTATGAGCAATATGAAATATGCGACATATCAAACAGTCAGCAAGTTTGCTTTATAGAAAACAACCATTTACTTCTCCTGATAGCTTGGTTTTCATAATGTAGCTAAATTTCGGTATATGAATTACGTGTAAAGTTTTTCAAACTTCTCCCACAGATAATCATTGGTAATCGTCACGTGATAAAGACGACAAACACGAACAAATGAGTTTACTATAGCAACCTAGTATGACAGAAGTATACGTGACTGTCTACTAGTATGTAACCCACTCTCCTTTCCTTAACGATTTTCAAAGCTCTTGAAATAAGATTCAAAATGTTAACTACATGAACGAGTGAACTGCTGGGACAATAAGTTTGTAAAATATAAGCTACTTTTCAAATTAACAGCACATTGCACTTACATTGTTTGCTTTCTTTTAGGTGTGTTTTTTACTGATTTTATGCGTGTACGTAATGTTTTTATATCTTTAACCAGTTCGTCATGTATGAATTTATCTTGTCCAGTAGCCAAATTAAGAAAATTTAGATCTTTTTCTTTTAAAGTCATCATTAAGTCTGTTTGATACTTTATCTACAAATTAATAATATAGAGGTTGATTGTCCACAATACTTATCAGAAACCGAAAAAATTTGCCAAGAAGCACTCGAAAAATGAACCATATTTAGAAGGCTCAGACAATAGGGTTCATTTCATCATAATAACTCAGAATCAAATAAAAAGTCCCGAAACCTAAAGATTAAATGTTTTGGGAATGTTAGTGTTTACTAAACGAACAGTACAGACTTAACCCTTTCGCCTCACACTTCAAATACTAGTAAATACAGTACTTTTTGGGAATTTATTTCACGAAATGGTGTAAACCAGGAAATTAAGAAACATTAGAAATCGGTACTGTTTTGCCATAGAACACCTTAGCAGTACACATCAGTGACCACGTGAAGAACTGAATCCAGTTATAGGTTTTCGCACCAAATACGATACCATTTAACTACTAAGTCGAGACTTAATGGTCCACGTTTCCAGTAAAATATTGTTCACGATATAGCACGATCCTCGTTCAACGTCATTAATGAGTTTATATTTTATTTCATGATGGGCTCACTCTACAGACCACGGAATCTCAACTAGAACACGTCAGAGAACCCATCCATAACTTGATCATAAGTGCAGTTTATGATTTGGATGGATGGTTTTGCAAATAATAACTTTCGAAATACCAACTTCTACGGAATCACTTGTATAGATATGATACATGTGGATAAACTTGCATACAAAATGTAAGATTATAAAGATGACATTACATTAATCAAAACAATTAGTAATATCTTATTGAAAACAAAACCAAATAGGGATTAAAATTCCATTAACATAGAAAGTAAAATGTATCATTCAATTTACGATGAAATCAATGAAAAATACTGAATCACGTGTATTTGATGGGTCCAAAGGTTTAAGTTCTATGGACTATGCAAACTACCCACTGACGATTTAAAAAAGTCACCAACCTTATTTCATGGCGTTATCGAAGCACTTATCAAGTGGATAGTACAAATTTATTTAAATCCAACAGATAAGTCCATAATACTATATCCTGATATCTGATCTCTGGGTATTTGACATTACTACTGGTGGGACGATAATCCAATTGGTGTTACCATCTTGAAACATCGACTTCAGTGGCTTGGACATGTTCTACGAATGTCATCCCAGAGAATTCCACATCGTGCATTATTTGCCGACTCTGGGACTGGTTGGAAAAAGCGGAGAGGTGTCGGGGTATGAAAGAAAGCTGCGAAGGGTTGGCTTGTGTTGGTCCTTCACGACCCCCTGGCTGAGGTCCGAGAGATGGTGAGGCACAGTGGCTAGAGACGTTATTAGATATGGCTCAGAATAGAAGTTAGTGGCGATCCTGCTGTAACTTTATTTTACTTTATAAAAAGTGGTTGCTTCTTCCTTAACTGAAAGATTTCTGAGTGTATGTACCTTTTCGTTTCCCCCATTATTATTATTATTACACTTACACTAATCTTATTTATTTATTTATTTATTTTAACACATAGGTATTGGTACACGCAGGCACCAAATACATATGCGCCACACGAATCTCAATTGATTAGTGTGAGGGCTGTGATACTGCCCGAGTTCCCAATCCGAAGCAGGCGGTTTTCTTGGGGGGCCACACCCCGAGCCTTCGACCTGAACGTCTGACCCACAAGGCAGTGGAGCATCGTAAAGAGATACAGTACCATGGTAGCCGGTGACCAACGATTTGTTCATACGCCATTTGTTCCTTCAGGATACTAGAGCCCATGTGCACCATTGGTTTGGGATCCGGTTAAAGCGCCGGACATTCGCTTTTCGTCCTCTCATTTTCGTAAACACCCCCGCCACGAGAAGGCAGTGAGTAGGACTTCCCTGGCAGGGGCTATGTACGCGTGGCCATGTGAGAGCATTTCGAGAGGGAGAGCGGCTCTCCCCACTCTCGGCGGTACCAGGGCATTTAGGAGCCTACACTAATCTGGTCGTTATTGCTCCTTGTTTCATTTTCTCTTTCAATTCTCATCGTTTTATGTGGCGCATATATATTTGGTGCCCACTTGTACCAATATTTATGTGCTCAAATAAATAAATAATAAATATGGGACTCAAAGTTTTGGGGAAGTAATTGTCCTAATCGTAGCCTTCTGTCGCTTATTCCACCAATGCGTAGAATTTAACCAATAATATTGAACAAAGTCGTGCGCTGACCAATTTGATATAATTGAAATACATAAGATAGACTTTATTGAAAATATCTACGACTCCATGTTTGTGTTTTAACAGTAATAGAAAATATTTGGGATAAATCCAATTTAACAAAGTCATCACCAAACTAGACATTCATGACTGTTATCCTGTCTGATTTTAATAACTCACTTCCCAATGTATATGTTACGTTCAAAAATATTACTACCTGCTTTTTAAGAATTTTAGAAACCACTTAGGATTATGTCTTACTGTTTAGAATGATGTGTAAAATAACTTTAGCACCTTATCTCACAACAAAATTAAAATTTGACGGCGACGATTATGAACTTACAGTGCGGATATTCGTCCCTTTTTTAATATCTATGAGTGGAGTGAAAGACTCCAAGCTTTTGTCCACAGTCAAGATTCTGTCTAATGAATGCAGTTCTGAGTCGAGTTCCTGGAGAATTTTAAGGTCTTATAGGTCAGGATATGGAATTCTACTTTACTTTTATGTGTAGAAGCATACAAATGGTCAAACTTGAGGGACAAGTCTTTGAATTCGTTTTGTAAATAATTAGATGTGGATGGGGTGATGTTTACTGGAAAGTAAAAAATGAGGTAAACTAACCTGATTCAGAAGATAAAATCTCAAAGTTATGAAGCCTAGTAAGAAAGTGAGCATCTCCAACTAAAATCATATTGTTTAAGATCTGATAAGTGACGCTAGGTTTTGAAGAGGGCTTACTTCAGATTCAGGAAAAGCAAGTGACGGAAAAACAGCATCTACAAAACAATGGAGTGTCAGTCGGAACATATTACATTAGTTCTGAATAGGTTCAGGAATCTTAAAAAAACACTACAAAAAGATTGAGACCTAAAGATTATATATTACCATAACAAAATACACCTAAACACACATTATCAGGAATCCTGACAGTAATCAAAACTGACACAACCCACCAACGGGTTAGCAAAAAGACCATAAATTGGTATTCCATAATGATGTGGTATGCTGAACTGCTTTGGGACAATCACCATCTACTTCAGTCGTTCAAACAAACTGTGGGTCAGGATATTTGAAGCCATAGATTTGCCCTGAGTATTCCCGGTATTACCCGATCGAGATAAAACTAATTCATCAAAAGCACTAAAAATCGATAGTAGTTAGTTTTTATCTAATAATCTTAACAAGTAAATCTTTGGTTTTAAAAAGCTCCTGCTAAGTGAAGTATCTTTAGTCGGCAAAAATTTTGGAGAAATGTAAAAAACGATGTCCGGAAACTTTTAACACGGAGCCAAACACCAGTCCAAATGTTGCACAGTATTTATTTATTTATTTATTTTAACACATAAGTATAGGTACAGGGAGGCACCAAATACATATGCGCCACACAAATCTCAATTGATTTGTGTGAGGGCTGTGATACTGCCCGGGTGCCCAAACCGAAACAGGTGGTTTTCTTAGGGGGCCACACCCCGAGCCTTTGACCTGAAGATCTGATCCACAAGGCAGTGGAGCATCGTAAGGAGATGCAGTCCCATGGTAGCCGGTGACCAACGATTGGTTCATACGCCATTTGTTCCCGCAGGATACTGGAGCCCATGTGCACCATTGGTTTGGGGTCCGGTTAAAGCGCCAGACATTCGCTTTTCGTCCTCTCATTTTTGTAAACAACACCCCCGCCACGAGAAGGCAGTGAGTAGGACTTCCCTGGCAGAGGCTATATACGCATGGCCATGTGAGAGCATTTCGAGAGGGAGAGCGGACTTTCCCCACTCTCGGCCGTACCAGGGCATTTGGGGGCTTCTCGGCTCTCTGAGCTAAGATCATGTAAATGTTGCACAGACGAAGTTCCTATTTAGTTGGCCCCAACTGGGTTCGACTCTATTCATATTTCGCTAGTAGTTCTTAAAATGTAGGGTTACTGTAACATCCCAATCTTCCTACTTTTACGGAAATCTTGTCCGTTTTGAGAAAACCTATATAGAAAATTTTGGGGTAATGGCGCAAAATCCCAGAAATTTCCACACGTCTAGGAGAATTGCCTAGGATTGTAGGGACTTCCTTAATACCTCCCCAGACTGAGGGAAACCCCAAAATTCCCTCAAAATTGAGATTGGGATTAGCAACACCGTAAGATAGAAACGGACTTTTATTTGAAATTATGAACTGGTTGATCGTTTGAATCAATACATTTAATTGGGCAGTTGCAGTTAGTCAGAAGCTAATTGAGCTGAAAATACACACGCATCTCATGAAGAGATTAACTCCAGGCAGGAACCTAGGTATATTAACGATAATAGAGGAAAGAAGAAATTGGTAAATCATGGTAAGATACTATCTTTAGTCCTTAAGAATAGGTCAAGTTTTCTGTTAAACGACTCCTGAGAAGTCACTTGGGCTAGCTCAGTCGGCAGCGAATTCCAACATTTGACAACTCTTAAGGAGTACAAGTTGTGTCTCCAGTTTTTGTATGTTATCCCTTAGGTTTGTGTTGGAGCTAAACTTAAGTAGGTGCTTAAGGGGATGTTTAGAAGTGTCAATGATAATGTAGGCTATTAGGTCACCTCTAAGATGCCTATACTCTAATGACAAAGGTTTAGTGTTTGGAGGCACTCTTCATAAGGCTTGAATTTAAGTCCCCGAACTGATTTTGTGGCTCGCCTTATGATACGCTCCAGTGTCCTTATTCTTTTGAAGTGAGGGAGGAAATACTGTTTCCGTAATCTAAATGAGGACGAATAAAACTGTTGAAGATTATGTGGAAAGTTTTTCGGTCAAACTGGCCAAAAATGCGCTTCAATGTTAGCAGTGAAAGGTTTGCTCGAAAGGCATCTTTGTCAAAGAGTAAGACTTCAAATAGTAGGGTACCTCGTATGCCACAGGTAGAGCATACGAACCAAGGATCTTGTTCTGACCAAGTAGACTGAATCCTTGAGCATCAGTGACAAAATCATATGGCGAATTGAGAAAAAATATCTACACAACAAACCAGTCTGAGACATTGTCAAACTGCAACCATCCAGTAGCTTCGCCCATTTATGAAGGTTACTGAGCACTTGAAGGTCAATCTGTCGTCAGACGATTGGTGCGTCACTTCAACGATTTGTGGGATTTTGCAGAAGCAGTGAAATCAAGACATTTTCACATTTGATTGGAGTTCAGCCACACCACACCTGATAGCGTCCATCTTTCTAGTAACCTGTAGCGGTAAATAATTCCCCAAAATCAAATAGCTCTGTAAGTTTTCGACATTGGATGCTGACCACAGTTTTAGTGGACTCATCTAGCTGAAGGCGCTCGGTCAAGCATCCGCACCAGATCACGTGCGGGAACGCTGTGCTCAACATCTGCCGCAATCGCTAGCCAGATTAGCGCAAACGATCCTCGATATATTGATAGCTTATCAAATATATCTTCGATCTCCTCACTTCTGTCTTTTGATTTTACTTGGTGGGTGCGCTTCGTATTAGAAGGTGTTACTGGTTAAAGCGTTGTCAAACTCCGAATACCTGTGGCATCTTCATTGGTGAGCCCGACGTGATCTGGTACACCATATTTTAAACTGTGAGTCTGTTCATTTTTGTGATTTTATATATCATTGTCTTATTTTAATTTTTTTTTAACATTGTGATATTCTTTTTACCGTGTTTTTGGGTTTATATATATATATATATTTCCCACTCGTTCACTTTTCGTACTTGATATATTACTATGACTGAACAGACCCCTAAATATTTATGTTAAAGACTGTGTCCCCACCCTCTTTCCAACTTATGCCTTTCTGGCCAAACAACATCGAAGCCTGGTTTTGTTACGCAGAAGCCGACTTCTTCGAGCACGGTGTGAACGATGCGCGTGCACAATTCCTCGCAGTAGTCAAGGCATTACCGCACGAATTTAACAGGTACGTAACACCTAGTATGTTTACTAGTGATGTTTCTGATCCATACCAAACCCTGAAACATGCCATCCTTAAACGCGGAGATCTAACCGATCGACAAAGGTTAGACCAACTCCTTAACAACATCGACCTGCAATACGGTTCTGCCACAGACATGTTGCAAAGAATGCGAGAAGTCATTGGCCAAAGAACCTTCGATGACGGCCTATTCAAACAACTTTTCTTATCCAAACTTCCTCAACAGGTTCAAGCTGTTTTGGTCTCGTTCCAAAACAACGCCGTAGACGAGCTAGCTGCATCTGCCGACCGCATTCTCGAAATCACTAGGTCTTCTAACGCCGAGGATTTTTCAGTCAAAGAAAAGCCTCAAACGACCCAGAATGACATAACACAGTTATGTCAAACACTTACGCGCTATCTCAAACTCTGTAACGACCGTAAACGATCACTTACCCCGCGGAGAATCACATCACGTAGGCGATCTGTATCTAGAACTCGAGAGACGGATAATCCTGATTGGTGCTGGTACCATAACCAGTACGGAAAGTCCGCCAGAAATTGCAGAAAACCCTGCAATTTTCCCAACGCAAAATCCGTCGACGCGAAGAACGTTTCGGGAAACTTCCAAGCCGGCACGCGTTAACGGCGACCGTAGCCGGCGAACATAGCCGTCTTTTATATGTCACTGATGTGATAACGAGAGTTCGCTACCTCGTAGATACTGGCGCAGAGGTTAGCGTTCTCCCAGCAAATTCCAACGACCAGCTACACGAGCCCCTTTTAAATCTACAGGCGGCAAACGGAAAGCCTATCGCTACGTATGGCCAAAGGTATGTTTATCTTAACGTGGGTTTACGCAAACCCATTCACTGGATTTTTGTTGTTGCAGATGTTTCTATGCCAATCATTGGTATGGACCTTCTACAACACCACAACTTAATTATCGATACGCGCAAACGGAGGTTAGTAGACGGAAACACTAATTTATCTGTTTGCCTGACTTCTTTTTCTGGTTGCAGGTTATCTCCAGTCACTATTAAGCACGCTATAGACCCCTTCTACCAACCACTACTCGATAAATATTCTGGCATTTACCAATCGCAACCGAAATTGCCGTGTGTAACCAGCAGTGTTACACATCACATCACGACTACAGGACCACCTGTCTTCTCGAAAGTACGCCGACTGGCCCCCGAAAAGTTAAGGTTGGCGAAAAACGAATTCGACCATATGATAAACTTAGGAATCATACGACCGTTAAATAGCCCATGGGCATCTCCGTTGCACATGGTCCCTAAAAAGGACAGCAACGATTGGCGTCCAACTGGTGACTATCGGAGATTGAATGCAAAAACCGTTCCCGATCGTTACCCGTTGCCCCACATTCACGATTTGACAGCTACCTTGAAAGGTGCAACTGTCTTTTCAAAAATTGACTTGGTAAAAGCTTATAACCAAATTCCTATGGCCACTGAAGACATTCCAAAAACCGCTATTATAACGCCTTTCGGACTCTATGAATTTTTGCGAATGCCTTTCGGTCTGAGAAACGTGGCACAGACTTTCCAAAGGTTCATAGATGACGTTTTTCGAGGTCTCAACTTCGTACATGCATACGTCGATGACTGTCTAATAGCAAGTCCGGACAGAGAATCACATCTCCAGCATCTGGACCTTGTTTTCGACCGACTACAAAAACATAGCATTACCGTAAACATTCAGAAATGCAAAATCGGAACCGAATCCTTAGACTTCTTAGGACACACCATAGATGCGCATGGCACTCGACCTCTTAGAACAAAAGTGGCGGCCATTCTGGATTACCCAGAACGGACCACCATCAAGCAATTGCGCACGTTTAACGGTCTGGTAAGTTTTTATAGACGATTCATACCGAAATGCGCGTTACTTATGAAACCCCTTACCGACCAACTTCGTGGAAATGCGAAATCCATTAATCTAGATGACACTACCCGAAAAGCATTCTCCACGGTTAAGGAACATATCGCCCGAGCAGCAATGCTTGCTCATCAGGACCCTAAAGCGCCCATTAGCATCTCAGTAGACGCACCCGACTCAGCAATCGGAGCAGTCTTACAACAATGGGTTAACCACTTCTGGCAACCTTTGGCATTTTTCTCTAGACGGTTGCTAGACACTGAATCGAGGTACAGCACATTCGGTAGGGAACTCCTAGCTATGTATTGTGCTGTTCGGCATTTTCAACACTATATCGAAGGCCGTGAATTTACCATTTTTACCGACCATAAACCACTTACTTTCTCCTTAAGCCCTTCTTCAAACAAGTACTCACCACGTGAGTCTCGACAACTGGACTACATTCCGCAGTTTACTTCAGATATTCGACACATTTCTGGAGCAAGCAATGTAGTTGCAGACGCCTTGTCTCGTATAAATTCCTTGAACAGTTCCCAAGGAATCGACCTTTTAAAACTCGCCCAACTTCAAAAAGAAGACAGTGATCTTCAGCACGAGTTGGCCTCAACAACACTTAAACTGCGCATTAAACAGATGGGAGCAGGTAAGGAAACCTTACTTTGTAACACATCTACAGGTAGGGATCGCCCAATCGTGCCGAAACATTATCGACTCAACGTATTTGATACGTTGCACAGACTTTCTCATCCAGGTGTTCGTGCAACCATCAAGCTTATAGCAGAACGGTTTTGCTGGCCTGGTATGAATAAAGATGTGAGGGAGTGGGCACGCTCCTGTGTAAGCTGCCAGAAATCTAAGGTTATTAGGCATAACAAATTTCCCTTAGGCTCGTTTAAAACTCCCGATGCTCGCTTCGACCATGTTCATTTGGATTTGGTAGGACCTTTACCAGATTCGAATGGATATTCTTATCTTTTAACATGCGTAGACCGTTTTACTCGATGGCCAGAAGTAGTACCCATCAAATACATTACTGCTGAAACAGTGGCCCGCACCTTCGTCGAGAGGTGGGTAGCAAACTTCGGCTGCCCAACAACCATTACTACAGATCGTAGACGTCAGTTTGAATCTGAACTGTTCCGTTGTCTGACCATGAAACTAGGAATCACTCGCTTCCGAACTACGGCCTACCACCCACAAGCAAACGGGTTAGTAGAACGTTTTCACCGACAACTAAAAGCGTCACTATCAGCCTCAAACATTTCTCAGTGGACTGACGCTCTTCCACTAGTCTTACTAGGCATACGCAATACAGTGAAATCTGGCATTGGATACACTGCATCTCAACTCGTTTATGGTATGACCTTTCGACTTCCAGGAGAGTTCGTGGATCCTTCATCTTCTTCGATGGACATGGATCTAACCTCCTACGCGAACAGGCTTACAAACGCAATGCGTTCAGTTAAACCTGTTTCCCCTCGACCACAATCAACTGATGTTTTCGTTCAACCTGACTTACTACATAGTACACACGTTTTCGTGCGTCGAGACTCGCATCGACGACCTCTCGAATCAACATATGAAGGACCTTTCAAAGTTCTTCAACGCGAATCTAAGTACTATATAATCGATAAGAACGGAACCAAAGAAAGCATCAGTATCGATCGCCTCAAAGCAGCATATTTAGAAGGAAATCCTATTCACGTCGATTTTCCTTCGACACAACTCCTGCACCTATAATACCTCAATCGACAGCAGACACACACGTTGATACTTCGACAGTATCCGAAAATAAACTCAAAACAACGCGTTCTGGAAGAAGAGTAAGATTTCCAGAATACTTGAACGAATACTGCACGTAAGACACAAGTTAACATTTTATATCCTCTCGATTTTCCCTGGTGCTCTATATATATATTTTTTTAAAAAAAACCCGAATTTAATATGCTTATATATTTTTATTATTATTTTTATTTCAAAAAAGAAAAAACAAAAAAATAACAATATTATAAAAATCCTTTTTTACGCTATTACGTGAGCATGAGTTTATTTTCCATTTCTTCCGCTCGCTTTGTGTTTTTACGCGCGTACGAGTGTATTCCGACATGCACTTACATATTTTTCTTTTCTTTTCCAGGACGACTGGAAAAGACGATGGAAAGAACGATGAAGTTGCGAGAAACGAATATCTGCATTGTACCTTTTTTTACTGTATTGTACATCATGGTCCATTATAGTAAGGAAAGACGACCAGACGCTGCTAAACCTAGCAA